GCGAAAGCATTAAGGTAGACGCAGCCACAGCTTTATCCTAGTATAGATCTTAAGAAGCCTTAAAAACTAAAATCAATATTATCAGAAATTACTGAGTAACGTTGATATCAGAAATAGAGAAATGGTCCCTAGGATACAAAAACATGCAGCACGAAACATAGAACAAGGTAATAGAGATTCAATTATCAGAAGTCTGATAATGAACATACATCCAGAGCAAAAGCTGAAAAACAAGACCACACAGCTACATCAAAAGCATTAAGGAAAACGCACACACATCTTTATCCTAGTATTCCTCTCCTTCATCATCCTCTCCCTCGGCAGACTCTGCACCAACCTCCTCATAATCCTTCTCCAAAGCAGCAAGATCCTCACGGGCCTCTGAGAACTCTCCTTCCTCCATGCCCTCACCAACATACCAATGCACAAAGGCACGCTTAGCATACATCAGATCAAACTTGTGATCAATGCGGGAGAACACTTCTGCAACACTAGTTGAATTAGAGATCATGCAGACAGCCCTCTGCACCTTGGCAAGATCACCTCCTGGAACAACAGTTGGTGGCTGATAGTTGATGCCACACTTGAATCCAGTAGGGCACCAGTCAACAAACTGGATTGTGCGCTTGGTCTTGATGGTGGCCACAGCTGCATTCACATCCTTGGGCACAACATCACCTCGATACATGAGACAGCAAGCCATGTATTTGCCATGGCGTGGATCACATTTGGCCATCATGGATGAAGGCTCAAAAGCACTGTTGGTGATCTCAGCAACTGAGAGCTGCTCATGATAGGCCTTCTCTGCAGAAATGACAGGGGCATAGGAGGAAAGCATGAAATGGATTCTTGGGTATGGAACCAGGTTGGTCTGGAACTCAGTCACATCCACATTCAGGGCTCCATCAAACCTCAGAGAGGCAGTGAGAGATGAGATGACCTGAAAAATGCAAGCCAAAGATCAGTAATATAAGAAACTTATGCTTAATATAATCTAATTGGAAAGGAACCATATCTATTAATTACCTGAGAGACAAGACGATTAAGATTGGTATAAGTGGGGCGTTCAATGTCTAGGGAGCGCTTGCAAATGTCATATATGGCTTCATTGTCAAGCAGCACGGCAACATCAGTGTGCTCAAGGAGGGAATGAGTTGAAAGGACGCTGTTGTAAGGCTCAACAACAGATGTGGAGACCTGAGGAGAGGGATAAACAGTGAAACCTAGCTTTGATTTCTTGCCATAGTCAACAGAGAGACGCTCCAACAGAAGAGACCCTAAACCAGACCCAGTACCACCTCCAACCGCATTGAAAACCAAGAATCCTTGGAGGCCAGTGCAGTTGTCAGCAAGCTTTCTGATACGGTCCAGGCAGAGATCAACAATTTCCTTACCAACTAGTACATTGAAAAGTAGATATTAGAACTCAGATAAAGTGGATATCCAATCCAGACCAACATTAAAATAACAAAGACAGTGATAGTTACTGGTATAGTGGCCACGAGCAAAGTTGTTGGCAGCATCTTCCTTGCCACTGATAAGTTGCTCAGGGTGGAAAAGTTGGCGATATGTTCCAGTCCTCACTTCATCAATCACGGTAGGCTCAAGATCAACAAACACAGCACGAGGGACATGTTTCCCAGCACCAGTTTCACTGAAAAAGGTGTTGAAGGCATCATCTCCTCCACCAACGGTCTTATCACTTGGCATCTGGCCATCAGGCTGAGAGAGAAAAATCCAACAAACAGTCAAAAATTTGATCTCATATTGAAAAACCTAGAAAGCTCAATCATACAGCGAAATTAAGGTATGGAAGCTAAGGCTACGCTAAATGTCAACAAGAAACAATATCAAATTAAATCCTAATAATAGCTAAACCAGATCTAAAACGAATGATACAGGGAACACAAGCACATGCGAAATTGCTCACTCTAAATCTGGCTAAATTAGAGGTGAAACGGAAAGTCACACATTCTCATCTTCAAAACTTCAGATCTAGCCCAATACTTCCGAACCAAATGCAGAAAAAAAACAAAATGCGATAACTAATCATCAACAGATCCAGATCTAATGCATTCCATATCAACAACACATGCAAAAGCACAATGCGATGTGTAATCATCAAGGGATCCAGATGTAACGAATTCCATTTCAAGCAACGCAACAGAAAACCTAAGATCTAAACGAATTACACAACCATTCTTAGGTCGAGAAAATCCAAACTAACCAAATAAAATCACAGCATGCGATCTGATAGTAAAACGAAATCGACAGACTTTGCTGATCCAAAAAAAAAAAGAAGGAGAAATCCACTGACACATTTCAACACCGAAAGAGAAAATGAATACCTGAATGCCATGCTCGAGGCAGTAAAGTTCCCAGCATGCATTGCCGACCTGAATACCGGCCTGACCAATGTGAATCGAGATGCACTCTCTCATTTTCTCTTGAAAATTTGAAGGATGAAATGCAAAGGAATTTGTAAAAACTCGAGAGAGAAAGAGGGCGGCGTTTATCAAGACGCCTTTGCGAGGTATGATTTAGAACTGTTCTTGGTGAGGATTATATAGGAGGGAAAGAGAACCCCACAAACTAGGGTTTGGTTAACCGCGGTTAATGGCAGTTACAGGCAGGCAAGGCAAGATGCCAGCCTGGATTCCCTAACTTCAACCATGGTTAAAGCCAAAATTACCCGCCCACCTCAATTTGATTTTTTTCGATTGAAGTTAAAGAAATATGCTTCGATTTGAACGAAATTGCGGCGGTGCCATTGACAACTGGCTGAATTTGAAAAGGACAGAAAATGAGAAAGGGTATTATGGTCATTTGAAGGATGAAAAGAAAAAAAAATCTCAAACAGAGCGGACGAAGCTGGAAAATTGGACGGAGCAGGTGGGCTATCAGCTCGAGTAGATTTTACGTTTTAATCAATGGGCCCACTTGGGCCCATGAAAATGGTTGAGCCTTTGGCCCACTTATCTCTCAGCTTTCTATAGTTGTATGTACGTCTCATGTTCTCCCCCATCTTGGGTTAAGTTTCTTTATTTTTATTTTTTGCTAATTTTAATTTTCAGGTAGTAATCAGTGCTACCTGTATCACATAGCAAACAATTCTAGCATAAACTGAAGGAATAACAGATCGAGAGACTGCATTAGCACGCAATCGATAATCCAAGACAAGGTCTCATTGGTTCAGGTTGTTGAAACACAACCTTCGAACATGATTAGGTATGACAAGAGTCAGAAAATGCAAATAGATATGAACAAATGCTTCGTGCCAGAATTAGCATATCATGGACCAAACATAACAGGCACGCCAGAATCAATATGAATTAGTACAATAACTAAATGACAGCTAATGAATACAAATCCTTCTCCGAAGTTTTGCCACTTTCCCAACCTCAGCCGGTTCATCAGATTCTGTTGGCCGGTTTGTGCCCTCTATGTATAGATGCGAAAGTATATTTTTTGCAAAAAGATGAATGCATGGTTTGGTTGTATTTGGACGGTTTGTGTGCTTATGTGCAAGTTACATCAACAAGAAAAGAATGATACAAACATGTGACAATAACTCAACAATGATTACCAAAAAGAAATTCATCCAACCACATCATAGGGTAAACTTAGTAAAACTGGACAATTAGAAACCAAATTAGGTATAAAGGACCATCAACTTAATGAAATTGTTCTAAATCAACTTTAGGTGGAAAAAGTGACTATGATTACAGGATGACTTAATATAGCATCACTGACAAGCACGTAATCAATTAGACCCATATAAAGGAAGGCAACAGGGAGAATTAACTTCAGCTTGAAAGATTGAAACATTGAAACATCCAGCAAAAATAGAATGCCACATAACATGGAAAGCTAACATGCATGACTGGCAAAAAACAACTTACAGCAGCCAGTGGCTTTTAACTTACAATTTCACCCAGTTTGAAAGTTTAACCTGCTTGTCAGGTTGCAATGCATCCTTGCCTATGTAATAGCATGCCATAATAATGAGAAACATGAACTAAGGAGTAGATATAAAGCAGTATAAGATGATAGGATAAACCGATAAACAAAGACAGTTGCATGGCCTAAACTTATTAACAGGTTTATAACTAAGGAAAAGGGGAGCTAAGTGAATGAATTAGTTTCAAACACGAAAGTAGCAGGCAGACAGATTCACTAAGAAGCTGTTCAGGTATCATGGAGCAATAAGCAATGGCTAGAGGTATAAAAAAAATTCAGCTGATCAGCAAGTCTTACCTCAAGAAAATCAACTTCATGAAGTATGAATAAATGGTTGATAACCATGGCAAGGAGCATTATAATGTATCAGCTCAAGCTTTATCTCAAAAACAAATTAAGAGTAAACAAAAATGAGACTGAATTCTAAATTGATAACTACATTACGAAAGTGTATTGTTCATATGAACTACTATAATTTTTCTTCGATTGGATCAACAAAAAATAGGATACATGTTAAAATCATATGATTTAACTATCAGTGGGATGTTGGCAAAGCAAATGCATGTGAAATAACAAGAGCAGAGTAACCAGTCTTTCAGGTATTGTTCTTAAAGCCTTTTTGCAGGTAGATCTCCATAGATATGGAAGTTAGAAAAAGTAATCTATTTTGAAGCATTCTTATGGGATCACAGAACTTTTAGGGGAAAAAGGTTTAAACTGACAGCATTAAGGTCTAAAAAGAATCCCGAACCACAACAACTACAAAATTTCAGCTATCCCAAAAGTAGACTTGTTCATGAGAGTTTTGAAAAACATATGAGAGTTCTTCCATATTCAGATGCCGAACAGAAACCAGAATGGCAAACAGGATCTCTCACAATCCAAATAGAAAAGCACATATTTATGCCAGCAAAGTAAGTTGACCGAAAAACATACAAGCAAATTTCAGTGCAGAAAGCAGAAGATATAATGCATTTGATACTTTACTAATGATTAACAAATTTGAGCATGATTTATAACAGTTCATCAATGCCATTTGCAGAATCAACCAAATAAAGTTGTTATTCAGCAGGAACTCACAAATCAGAACACTTTAGAGATCTTTTCAAAATTTCTTGACACAAAATCTGGTATGACATATCACAGAGAAAATTAGTATAAGACGGCACAAAAGAAATACAAGCAATCTGATGGGAAACTGGAAGGTGCATATTGGTTGTTGGGAAGGCTACCAGTGCAACAATAGTCATGTCATAATTACAATGCCAAGCTAAGAAACACAGCAAATTTCACAGAATTCATCAACAATAAAGCATTTTACACAAATAATTCGCATTGCCCTCTTTTCATGTTAGAATCAATTACACTTTAGAAAAAAAAAAAAAAAAGAACCTACATGAATACAACTTGATAGCAAACATATCAAAGAACAAATTAAGGTTGTAAAAACATTAAAAATAGAAGGAAAAGTTCCAGGCTTTATGAAATGCATGGACCACATAGGCTGCAATGATTTTTATCCTATAAATCTTAGAGAATGGGTTTCCCATGAAATAGAGGAATGCTAATACGATTTAATTAACTGCAGCGGAAAACGTATAGGGAAATATGGAACAATTCTATTCTTAGACAGTTTCTATATTCTGAAACCCCATATTCTCTTCCATGGATATTTGGACAATACTAACTGGGCATTACCTCTTACTCCCAGACATTCACCTGCAGCTAAGCACTGAAAATAAAATGCAGAAGGCATGAAATGGGAGGTGAAATATATCAAAAAAATATGTAGGGAAAATCAGAAACAGAGAAACCATATATCTCTATATTTATATAAGCAAAGTCAATCTGTGGAAAAATGAGTAAAAACCGTACATCATCGCCATCATGACCACTAAATACATAAATAAAAAGGTCAGAGCTTTTCACAAACATACATGTGAAAAAAAATAAATTTCACAAAACCCTTCGCACACCACCATCTTCTTCTCTGCATTTGGATGTATGATAACCAATACCCAGTATCGAGGATCGATGATGAACCGTTTGCTCCTACTCCACCTTTGAAAAAAAAACAAAAACAAAAACAAAAAATAAAATAGGAAAAAGGTGTGAGATTTTTGTGAAGAAGAGAACCCTATAGTCTGTGTATTTGCCTGGCTCCATCCTGTCTGCCTTTTTGCACGCAATGAAGGGAAAGGAAGGGGGGTTTACACAGAGAGAAGCTACATTGTATGCTCCCACCTGTGAATGCACCAAAATGACCTTTGATTTAGAAAGGCGTGAAGGGTAAGTAGCCCCTGGGGATAAAGGGCAACTGGGTCATTGCGAACGACAGCCATTGCAGTAACAGTGTAGCACTTTAGGTGGCTTCAGAAAAGCAGAGAGATTGTCTGGCTGAAGGAGAGAGAGAATTGGAGGGGGGAGGAAGATGATGGAAGTGTGGTTGGTGACTAAAATGGGGATTTTGATTGGATTAGAGAAAGAGTTTTGGCAGGGATTTTTGGTTTTGGCCGGTGAAAAGCCATTTTCAACTTTTATCTTCGTTCCTCTTCTGGTAAGTCACACTGATTTGTCCCGCATCTCCTCTCTTTCTTCTGCAACCACTTTCGATTTTCCGTTTTTTATTTACGTATTTATTTATTTATTTACTCAACTTAAAGAAATATTAGAAAAAATTTTGAAAAACTTGAAAAAAAATAGAAAACTTTTGACAATTACTCTAATACTCATTTTTAGTAATTTTATTTTTATTTTTTTTTAATTTTTTAGATATAATTTTTTTATTTTTAATGGATTTTATATATAAATTTTAAATAAAAATTTAACTATTTATTTAAGAATAATAATAAGGAAAATAAAATTTTAAAATAAATTTGATACAAATGATGTGATTTATAATACGTCACTAAATTAATTGATAAATACAATATTATTGGTTTAAAAAAAGAGTCAATTTTTCAATAATATAAAATCAACTTTTTAATATTTTAAATAATGTGATTTATCTAAAATCATTGATTCCTTATTTTGATTTTAATTTTGATCTCATTTATTATTATTCTTTATATAAATGAAAATAAAAATGTCAATTATTATTTATGCATAATATGTTAAATTTTTATTTAAAATTATGTCTAAAAAATAAAATTAAAATTACTAAAAATTAACAAAAAGAATAAAATACATTGATAACAAAAGGATTTTTAAAAATTTGAGGATATTCAAACAGTTTCGTTTTAATTGTCATGATTTTCTTATTTTTATTTTTCTAGGAAATTAGTTAAGAATTGTTGGGAAAAAAAATTCTTGTTTGGCAGGTTCAAAAACAATAAATAAGCGAGCTCTAATTAGTTAAAATTTTGATATTTCAAACTTTATATTCAAATTTTGTTTTAAATAAGAAAATTTTAATAAAAAAAATAACCCCACTTATATAACTTATCATAAATGTTAAAAAATAAAATTAGGAGACAACTAACTGTTAATATTAAATATTTTTTATTTAATAATTTATATTATATTATTTAATACAACTTTAAATGAAAACACTATTCATTTCTTTTTAAGGGAGAAGTTATTAGGGGTAGAGCAGATTAATGGTGCGGGGTAGGGAGTGAGGGAGATGCCATAGACACAGCTGTGTTTCTGCATTTTCGAAGTGACGTTAAGGTGTTTTATGGTGGTATGGTTTGACTAGGCCTACTGCTGCCCTCTGCCTTCTCATCCAACGGCCTAGGAGATTCTACCCTGCGATCCTCCCCAGAATTGGCAATTTCGCATTAACCAGTGACTTTTTTTCTTAATCGTATTTTTAAAGTATATTTAGGTTAAAAAAAATTAAAAAAATATATATTTATTTAATTATTAGAAAGAGAGAAAAGCATAAAAATTTTTATTTAATTTTTAATATTATATTATATTATTTCTTTAAATATTAATAAGAGAATGAAAAAAATATAATTTATTTATTTTTTAAGTTAAATATATATATTTGAATGGTTTATGATATCAGTTAAAAAAATTCAAATCTCAATTTTAAAATTAAAAAATACATTTAACTATAGGTGTAACATCGTTGGATCATGAGATTTAAGTGTTTTTAACTCAAATATACTAGTAAATGTATATTAATTATATTTTATTATAATTATTTTACATTGAAAAATAGAAATTTACTTTAAATTAAAATTATTGACATGATATCAATATTAAAAATAATGCTTGTTTTTATATTTTTATAAAATTTATTACAAAAAGATACAATTAATATATTATTAACTTATATATTTAAGATATATGTTAAAAAAATCTTTAATTAATATATATTTATTCTTTTTCGAATTTTTTCCATATCACCATTTGAAATAATTTCATCCTCGCTCTTCTTTGTCTTAATTTTGTCTTCGATCCATCCCACAAAACACTAATTCTATGGAAGTTTTTTCAAAATTTTAAATGTTGACTTTTACGTACTTTTTTTTTCTCCTTTTAAGAGAGAGTATTAATATATTTGACTTTAACGGTGTGTCTGATTTAGAAAAAAATAAAGTGTAAACAAAATTGTTATGTAATTAAATTTAAATCTTATGGTGTAACTGAATTTTAAAAATAAAAGAATTATTTTTTTGTTATATAATCTAATTAGCTAACACATCATAAAACTTGTTTTTATTCTATTTATCATATTTAGAATTCCTTCATAACCCTTACTGTTAGTAATTTTTTGTATTTTTCATGGCTATACGAAATTTTCTGAGCACAAGAGTATTCAAAATCAAATTAATTGACTTAAGTGTACCTTTACCTTAATAAATTTAAAAATTTTAACTTTTTACCTTTGGTTATAAAGTTTTTAACTCCTAAACTTAAAAATTTGAAGATTTTAGTTCTTAAATTATTGAAATAGTCAACTCTAGAAAAAAATATTTACAAGATTAGTTTTTAAAGATTAAAAATATAATAATATAACCCTCAAGTTTAAAAATTTTAAAAATTATTAAATTAAAATAAATAATAGATGTTTTTGTCACGTACATGAGAATAATATTAAATATTCATAATAAACCAAGCGATTAACTTAATTTAAAGAAGGAATTCTAATTAAAATTAAAAAAATTTTCTAAGTTAAATTAAGACAAAAGTTCTAAGAGATTAAAATAATACAACTAAAAAATTTCCTCTAATTCTAGACAGATTTTTTTTTTTTAGATTGAGCTAATAACTTGATTTAATTATACATATCTAATATTGTTTCATGTATATAACAAAAACATCCACTAATTATTTTTAATTTACTATTTTTTTTATTTAAACTTCAAGATTAAATTGTTATATTTTTAATTTTTAAAGATTAATATCGTAAATATTTTATTTTTATTTTAATAAAAAGTTGACAGTTAATCTAAAGGTAAATTTTTCAAACTTTAGAGTTCAAGGGTTCAAAATTTCATAATATAGACTTCAAATTTATTAAGATTATACCTTAGCCCTAATTTAATTATACTACTAATAAGAACTGAAGATTATTAGATTGGATGGCAAAAGTTCAACCAATTTAATTTAGTTGGGTTTTAGTTTTGGTTAGCAACTAATTAAAATAAACAATTTCATCCTCTTAATTTTAAAATGAATGATGAAAACTTATTTTGTTATTTGAATTATAATAAATTCTAAAATAATTATTTTTAATTTAAAAAATCTTTTAATATTAAATTTTTTTATTTAAAAATATTTATTTTATCATTTAATATCATTTATACGACAAAATAGAAAACCTAACATATAAATCTTATGCGTGAAAAAACCTTAAGGACTTGCTTTTCAAAATACTAAATCACTTGCTAACTCAACCCGCACACACCTAGGCTTCACCCCTAGTGATGATACTCGGGACCACACTTTGTGGTGGCAAAAGGAACAATAAAGAACTAGTTGTTAGAATTACCCCCTTTTTTTTAATGTATATATATATAATTATTGTTAAATCAGAATCTCCATGGCATCATCAATTGAGCAGTGCAAATTTAAAAACAAAGTCAGAAGGTGAGCAACACATCAATCAATTCGAGATGAATGGTAATAAGTGGCAGGCGTCCGAAAATCTAAATTGTTGTCTCCCCAAAAGGAAGAAAACGGTAAAACTGAATGAATGCAAATCACCAGTACAATTGGTTTTTTTTTTTTTTATTCACACCAGTGTTATGTTAATCAAGTACTTATGCACTAGTTACACATTCAACCCACTTTGTACATTAAAACTTGCCTTTTTTTTTTTCTTTTTTTTTTTTTGTTAGTTTTTCGTTTGGTATCCGGATTTTGTTCTGATTAATTTGGATCCAACCTACGTTGTACACCTGAAAATGGTGGATAAGTCTCCCAACAAGGATTATTGCGTACACAAAGTCTCGAACTCGAAACCTTACTTAAACTAGAACAAACTGCTTACTACTTGATTCAAACCCTCGTTAATAAAACCTGCCTTTCTTGTGTGTGTATGTCAATGGATTTGCCTTTCTAACACAACAATAATGATTGGGGGGGAGTTTTTAACTTTCTTTGGGAAAAGTAACTTAGAGGAAGGTACTCAAGTTAAAAGTCAAGTGGCACCAGCTTATGGAAGTAATTTTAGTTGGTGCACCCACTCCCTTGACATTAGGCAAGATTTAAGTCGCAACACTGCTGGGCTAAAATCCCCCTCACACCACACCTCCCCCCCTCCCCCACCCCCCAATTGTAACTCTTAGAAACAATGTTAATAGTAAGTGCATGCGACAAGCCTTAATAAGATTTATAGTCATACTGAGTAGGAGAGTTCGTGGTTAGATTTGGTTGAGTTTTTGGATATTGAATCATACGAATTCGAACCCGGCCGGATAAGATGAAAGTTTGTGGGATTTAAAAAAAAAAAAAAATTTATGTGCCTTATTTAATAAAGTTAATAATTGTTAATTATTTAAATAATTTAATAATAATTTTTTTAAGATAAAAATTTTAAATTTAATCTACATACCATATGAATAAAATAAAAGAAAAGATAAAAAATTTGTTTTGTATTATACAATTAAAATAAAAAAAATAAGGCTAATAATTAGTTTATTTTTTTATTTTTGTATTAAAAATATAAAACTTAATGTTAATTTAAATCATAAATTTTACATGTTTATTTATTATCAACTTCTTTTAAATTACTGTTAAAACTTATTAAATCAATTAAAAAAAGAGTCATCTTTCACTTTTTTTAATAAAATATAATAGTCATTAATTACTTATTTCTCGTTATCATATGTTTTAATAATATAAAAATTGTAATTATATAAATTATGAAAGAGTTAAATTCATCTTATCCATACAATTATTTTGTCTTGTTTTCAAACTAAGATTGAAGAAAATTATGATGTTTAATCAATTAAAATGTTCAAAATCATAATAAAAAAGACTTAAATACTCTTAATTGATGAATATGCTGAAAAAAATTAAAGTTATTAAACCAATTTAATAGACAATTTTAACATTTTAATATTCTAATATCATTTATCTCTTTACAATTAGTAATATTTCTTATAAAAAAAATTTCGAGTAGTTTTCATATTTACCCTTCAATCAACTCTATAATAATTTTTTATGAAATGCAATTATGTCGTAAAATTAATACACCGTAACTTAAATTAATATCATTTTTGTATATAATTTAGTGATTAAAAATTTTATTAATTACATCCTCAACATTTGTCTCCAAAAAAAAAAAAATCTCTAAAGAAACCCCGCAACAATCTTTGTCAACCCCAGGTAAAACAAACAAAAACAATAAAACATGGTTGAAAATGAGGTGGATAGCTTAAAAACAATAAAACATGGTTGAAAATGAGGTGGATAGCTTAAAAACAATAAAACATGGTTGAAAATGAGGTGGATAGCTTAAAAACAATAAAACCTGGTTGAAAATGAGGTAGCTGGCTTAAGTAACTAAGTGTTGAAGAGGCGTAAATGAAATGCAGGCAAAATAGACATAGAGCCGCCCAGGAGAGGACAGGGACCCGAAAAGCCTAGAAAAGGTAGCTGCTGTGTTTTAAAACGCCACTAATGTGGGTTACATTAAAAGAAGCCTCGTTACCCTAACTGGAGGACCATGCCCTTATTCTAGAAATGTCAACAGCAAGTAAAGACTTCAACTATTACCCCTTTTAGTGTGAGGGAAATGGAGTAATTAAATCTCCCCCCTCCTCTCCTCTTGTTTTGTTATATTAACATATAAAAGAAATTAAAGTAAAATAAGGTAAAACTCCTTCATCTTCTTCAATCTCTTATTATCTCCATAGAAAATTTTCTGAATGGAGAAAGTCTTTTAGTGCAAAGAGTATTGTAATTGCACCAAACCCGAAATCCTTCTTCAGTCTGTGTCTGCACTTCGGATTGACCTGCAAAGCCCCGAGGTGGAACTCGGGGTAGACACTCCGATGCCTAAGTCAGCAATAATCAGGGCTACCTTTAGAGTGGAAATAAAAGGAGCTTAGGGTTGGTTTCAATTTTCTTTTTGATGTGGTCCCTGGGGGGTATTTATAGGCTTCAGTGAAGAACCCACATGGCATGCTAAGCAAGATAATCGGAATTTGACGTGTCTCTCCAGACGGTTATTTCGAAACCGAAAAATTGAGAGATATTCAGATGCAAGAATGTCCATCGTAACTGCTGTGCAGCTTGTCATAAAGAATCAGGTGTGGGCATGCTTATTGTCGCTGTCATACAGCTGTTTGAGCGGGAAGTGTTGGATTTATCCTTCACTCCGGTTATAAAGGAATTACTGCCATACGTCTGAGGTTGGGCACCTCGGACCTGTCCTTACATGTATTTCTTTTATTGTTTTGGTACTAAATTCTTCAATATTTGAAAGTCATATTAAATTTTAATTAATTTAAAATCGAATTGTATCAAACTCTGTAAGAAAAAAGATATTACAACACATATTTTTTTATTTACAAAATTTAAACTCAAAATCCTTAAATTGA